TTGGTCTGTTACCCTTATAGTCTAATAGATTTTTATTCCCTTTAATATTTATGTCTTTAAGAAAGATTGAGTTAGATTCACTGGACTGTGATCAATACCACATTACTTCCTCCTTAATTGTTCTGTACATATTATCTGTCTGTTATATATGGTCCAGACTTTCTTTATACCGTTAACCCAAAACAATATGTTTGGGCTTAACAGTACATTTGAGTATTATTCAACCTCTCTGTGCACTTAAAAGATAGCAAGTCTATGACCTCATTATCTTAATTTTCATGCCAATTTCTTTAAGTTTCATTTTATTCATCTTCCTTATCCTCATCTTTCAGGCAATACTCTTAGGTGAGGTTACATTTCATTTTTCTCAATAATAACAAGTGCTAGAGAAGTTGGTTTTTTTTTTTTTTTTTTTTCTTCTTTTTTTTCTCTTTTTCTTTTCCTTTCTCTCTGTTTATTTATTTATTTTTAAACAAAAGCTTTGACTTCATAGAACTACAAAATAGTTTGGGTTGGAAGGGATCGTACAGCCCACCCAGCACCAACCCCAAGCCGTGGGAAGGGCTGCTCTTCCCCCCAGCTCAGACTTCCCAGGGTCCCATCCAGCCTGGCCTTGAGCACCTCCAGGGATGGGGCACCACTTCTCTGGGCAGCTGTGCCATGCCTCAGTACACTCATTGTGAAGAACTTCTTTCTAAAGTAAATCTAAATCTATCCTCTTTTTAGATTAAAGCCGTTAACAGTAGGGTTATCACTACACTGCCTAATAAAGAGTTCCTCTGGATCTTTTCTTTTAGAAATGTTAAATAAAATGAACAAAGTGCTTTATATGTTTTATAAATACACTTGTATTCTACATATTTTAATCAGGAATAGTCCATCTTGTTTGATCTTAGGGTTTTACTGATGCTACATACGGTTTATGGAAATAGCTGGCTTTCTTAAAGAAATTACACGTATAATTAATCTTCACAGATGTATAATCAATGGATATTAAGATGTTACAATCACAAAATAAACAAGAGAGTTAGGCAAAGCAGGCTATGATAACAAAAGAGAATAAATGGAAGGCTTACCCTTATGCTGGACTCACTACATAACACCAATAGAGGCAATCTCCAGACAAGATCCTTCCCCACTGGTAGCCAGCTCTTAAATAGGGCTAGGAGGGCTGGAGCCTGGCTCCACCCCTTCTGGCAGCACAGGTGAATTGCCTTCAGCTGTGCTCCTCTGGCTGACTCATGGCTCGCCTCAGGTGATCAATCAGAGGTTCAGGCCGTGACTCAGCAGTTCCCATACAACAGATCAGTGTAAGAAATTAGTAAGTTTTCTAAAAAATGCATATATGTTTAATCTACTGTTTGAATAGGTTAACAACCACCAGTGCCTGGTCAATCCAATCTAATACCTTTTAGAAACAAGGCAAATAAAGGAGAAATAGTAACTTCTGTACATTTACAGCAAGGTCCTAGACTTTGGTTCACATAGGTGGAAAAACATGTCAAGAAAATACAGAGCAGGTGAAAATATACTCAAGTTGAACTTCAAGCAGTACTTAAAGCTAGTTGAATAAGAAGTTGAATGAAATTCTTCACAGAGTTGTTAATCATTGACTGCCCAAATGGTCCTGTGATCAGTGCTGTAACCAGTAACTTAGATGATACAATAGATAGCATTTGAATTTAAAACACAATCACAAATGGGGATGAATTGCCATAAATTAAAAGGTAAGATTAGTACTCAAAACTTTTTTGATAACTCTGTTATAAACAGGAGAGTAAAATTCAGTGGGGACAACTGCAGTATGATACAAATAAAAATAAACATATAGAAGCATGAGCAGCAACTCATGTGAAAGCTTTGCAGGAAAATATCTGGAGGTCTTTGTAGATCAGAAAATGAAAACAAATATATAGGGCATTATAAAGGAAAGAACAAAAGTTATAGAGATGTATAAGCAACTCCTGAAGGAATCCCTTCCAGTCTGTTGGGCACTCAAAATGCCACAGGTAGAGGCTTGTTTCCAGTTCTGTGTACATCTTAAGAGGGAGGTATGCCAACTGGAAAGACTCTTTGACAAGATGAACAAAGGTGGCAAGTCTAATGGGCAAAGTTGGAAGAAACGAGAACTGACTAATGTAGGGAGAGGGAGACACATTGACAATACCTATTAGAATACAGAACAGGTTGGTGAAAAGAGAAAAGAAGTAGTTTGTTCTGTTTAACTGTGTCCATTTATCATTCTTCAAATGGAGGCTTAAATAAAAATGACCTCAATGTAGACTAAGGACTGACTGCATTAGTGCTGAATTATAATCAAATTGTAGTGAAATTATTCAATCTCTGTCATTACAGCCCAAGAAAACATAAATTACTATTCCGCTCCTGAGAGGACAATTTATCTTTTTTAAAGAAATTCTAAAACTTTGTATACTCCAGGAAAAGCTCTCCACACTTGATTACTGCTCTGCAAATATTAAGGCTATGCAGATTTTTATTCTCAGGCTCGTTGTTTTGACATACTGCAAGAAATATATAATTTTGGCCCAGTGATTTGCCCAACTTTTACAAAAGTAATAACAGCCAACGTTAGGGAAATTGCTGCTGACTTAAGTAGCAGCAAGTTATACCAGAATACATTTCCTAAACAAAGGACAGACAGATGTGTTGTTATATCCAGTACAATGTCTGTTATCTCAGATGTGACCAATCGCCTTCTGCAAAAATGTAAGCTTACTTCTTAACAGTTGATACTGCTACTTTCAGATACTGAAAAAATCTGAATCACAAGCTTGATTGAAAAAAACATTTTATTTTAATGTATTTAAGATTTTTTTATTTCTATCCATCTATCTGAAGGTTAACCCATCCCAACTAAGAACTAAACAGCATTATCTCAAGAGCTGGAGACATACTAGGAAGCAGGAAATATGCTGGGATTTCTCTCTCACTCACTCCCTCACTTCCTCACTGCCAAGTATTATATGACTGAAGAAGAGTTGGCAATCCTGGTTATGAGAGTTAAGATGACAAACTAGATGACTAGGGTCCAAGACTGTAATCCAGTCAAGCTGTTGCTCCTTCCCTTTCCTCATATTTATAACAGCATCTGTTCCTTCTATCTTCATAGCGATCAGTATAATTAAAGAAATAAGGAAATATCCCCACTTTTTTTTCCCCTTGTTCTATGCATGGCTTCTCACCTAAGTACCTGCCTGCCACACAGGGTGCATAGCTTGTGAAGCCCATTTTTGACAAGATATGAGAAGCTGAGATTTTATTTTTGATGGAAAGAAGGGAATTTCAAATTGTCACGAGGGCGGTGGATTACAGAAGGCACCTTCTGAAGCTGCTGCTAGCTCTGCAGAACTGGGCTTGCTAAAAGAAAAACAGGCGCACAAAATGTGTTTCATCATTGAGCTTTTTCCTACATCTCCCTTATCAGTAATTAACGTGAACAGTAGAATGTATACACTTCCTCAATAAAAGTCATGATCATGTAGAGGGTCAGAAGTTTTAAAATCAAAGCTTAAAAGATATCAAAATTGCATAGGCCTTCTGCAGTATTTCTAGAGGGACTTTTTTTTTTTTTTTTTTCTCACTCAGAAAAAAAATTGAAATAATATATTTTTCTTACCACAATCACTTTAGGTAAAGGTCAGCCATGTGTATCCGCCATTTTAAAAGAGTCTAAAGCTAAAGAGTGTCCCTAAAGCTACAGAATGTTAGTCAGTACCACATGCCCAAAGAAAAGTGCTAATAATCCAGCATTTCCCCCGTGACTCAGGCTGACAGATATGAGTGATGAAGGACACAGGTTGTGATAATGTGTTGTGTGTTAAGCAAGAGAATGGTTGGTTCAGCAAAATATGCTTTGCCCTTAAAGCATATATGCTGCACTGATATGCTTCAGATATGAGGTCTGTCAGTACTAGGTGCCACTTTCTACTATCATAATAAAAGAGTTGTTGAAAAGGACCAAAAAAACCCCCAAAACTAAGTACTCCCTCCTATCAAGGTCTCTGGGGAATTTTGGTATCATTGAATAAATATCAGATTAAAAAAGATTAAATGCTTTTTCATGTTCGTAAGTGTGACCATTTTTTAGGGTTAGCTGTTGCTGAACAGTCGTAGCAGATATCTTGGTTTACGGAGCAGAATCCCTAGCCTCAGAGCACAATTAATCTGTAAATATCATTTAAAAAAAGGACCACTTGCAAACCTATGTCTGACTCCTCGTGGATGACCAGGCAAGCTTTATTTTTGTTATTTATTGTAATTAAATTGTTCAACTGGAAAGAAAACAGATAGGAAAAAAAAAAAAAAAAAAAAAAAAAAAGCATGCTCCTGAAAGAAACTGTCTGCTCTATGAATTCCTTACCTGAGGTACCTCCAGCCCTTTTCTTTCTCCTGCCATCTGAGAAGAAATTAATGCTTTGGATACATGGTCACATCATTTCTAAAAATATATCTTGAAAGGTCTGTGTGATTGCAGCACTCATTAGTGCTGCAAAAAAAAGTGTGTACATAGTGCTTACCTTATAACCTACTCAACTTCAATTTTTCCATCTTAGAGGCTACCAGTTACCTTCTTTTCCCCACAAAGACTACAAATTGTCTCAGTGTGCAGGGCTGATTTTGTAGGTGTTGGAAGTTTGTGTTCCAGATTCCAGTCCCACAGTACCTTGTTCTTCAAGTAGCATTGCTACAAATGGACTTCACTTTGTTGTACAACATGCTACAATGGATACATTATGTTCTCCTGTAGAGACATTCTATATTCCTTGGATGGGCAGAAAAAGTTCCCTGCGAGAGGCTGCCAAATTTGCAAAAGACTAACATCATAAAAATCCATTTTTCTGGGGAAAACAAAAAGCAAAAATAAAAACAAAAAACAAACACCAAAACACCCAAACCCACAGGAACTTCTTCTGTCAGTTTAAGAAAATGGCTTTTAAAATAAAGTTAAAAGACTCTAAAAATAAAAAGTTCCAACTTACCTACAGTACATTACGGCTTTACAGTATCCCATAAATGATGTCCTTCATTTCAATAAGTAGTTTACAGGAAGAGAACAAGTCTTTTCCGATCAATATCTATACACTTATTTTTCACTGTTTCCCGCTCGTGTTAGTAATATTCGGTCCTCTGACCAGACGTAGGGTTCTGCTGTTGATTCCTTCTTTCCACATTCCTCTCCCTCTCTGTTTGGTTTTGATGTATCTGTGAGGTACTGGGTATGTCAGGCTCTAGTCTTGCCTGGAGCCCACATCATAACTTGTGACCATCATTTTATTGGGGTACAACAGTGGAAGAAAATTTTGCATTTTTAATGGCCTGAATTAATGAGACATGTCAGAATACTTTTTTTTTTTTTTTTTTTTTTTTTTTTAAAAAATTTTTTTTTTTTATTTTTTTTTTTTAATTTTAAATTTAAGAATTTTTTTTTTTTTTTTTTTTTTTTTTTTTTTAAAGCATTATGTTGATGTCATGTTTTGTGTTACCTGAAGCATGAAGGCATTTGAAAGTACAAGATCTATCGTGAAAATATTAGAGGACTATTCAGTGCAAAATGAGGAAAATTAGTTTGGTCTTGTCTGCACATCCCTGGAATATGCAGTCAGTGGCCAGTCTTTGAAGAAGTCCCTTGGAGAGCTGTTCCACAGTATGAATATGAGGTCTGAGACAAATCTCCCATTTTTGCTGTGTACTGCTTACAGCTTCGGATCTCAGGTCTGCTTCCATGTGTGCTGACGTTCCTTTTGGAAGAAGTTCCACTACAGATGCACTTATCAGAGGTAGGATTTTCCAAATAAATGTGCAGGCTGCAATATTACACAATCCTCTACGATGCTCTTCATGAGCATACACCAACAGTAAGCAGCATTCAGAAAACAGCCCAAATTCTCCTCATACCAAATGCTGTGACATCCTTCCAATTTACCACTTCTTTCTTTCATCTCTTACTTCTTTCTTCAGTGTGAACAAAAATTATTTCTGGTTCAAAAATTCTGTCCATTCAATTACATGCCTTATTTTACATACAGAAGAGCAAGACACTACAAATGTGGGATTTCTTGGAAGAATAAAGTAAGAAGTAGACAGAAATGAGTAAGTTCAATTCTTTCATTGGAAGGACATTTAAAAGTCATCAGCTGAATGTTATTGATGCTGAAAATTGGGGAAAAAAAAACAACAGTAAATCTTGTGGACACAAACAAAGTACGAGCTCAAGAATGATGATCCATCAGGCAAGTAGCAGGCTTCCCACTGGTGCAACTAGAGAAATCTGGTGAGCAAGGCTATGAGGGATTGTTAATCCTATATGGAATTCATGTTGTTCTATTTAATCTGGCAGTATACCAGCCAATAAATTGAACAATCTAGGTCCTCATGTATTTTTGTTGCCTGTTCACCTTGTGTCCAGGCTCAAGAAGGCCTCCCATCAACTGTGCAAGCTTTATTTCTCTTCAGTCTTCAAACATGTTTACAACAGCAGCAGTTTACAACACGCTGTGTGTCAATATTTATTTTACACAAAAACACTGTGATGAACTTTATTCATTTTCACTGTTGTTTGAAAACAACATATATACTCATGTTGTTTTGTCCACAGTACAAAGCTTTCAGTAACTACTCACACGCAAAGACAATATCTGGAAAGCTAACACCATTAATTTGCACCTCCCTAATACTGATTTGTTCCTTACTTTTCTACAGACTAGAGCCCATTAGAGCACCCTTTATACAGGAAAGCTTTGAATCTCTTCTCTACAGCCTCGTTTTATCTCTTTTAAGTCTGATAAGTATGTTCATTACATTATTCTTCAAATTAAAAGATTTACCACACATTTTCATTTTTAAAATACTTAGCTTTTTAGAAAGAGAAGCATATAATCCATAAACTGTAAAAGCTTGACGTTTTGCTGAAGGATGTAAAAGCTCATAAAGGCCCAATCGACAAAAATGACTACCTTTCAACAAAAACATGGAAAATCCCAGTAATATGAACTGAAAATAGCATTAAAGCATGAACAACAAATGTATATATGACAGACAGTCACATCATGCATTTTTTTGAAAGGCTGATTGATTGTTTCTAATTGTTCTTAGTCCAAAAAGGGAATTGGCTTCTGGATTTGAGGCTTTACAAGGCTAAATATACATATTTATATTTATTTCAGGCACTGAAATAATCCTTTAGACTTATCCTTACTTTTAGATGAAACCCAAATACCTGGAAATCTATGTTTGATAACTGTGTCAATGTATTTCTTAAGTTTTTACTGAAGTGCTCCATATCATCTTAGAGGAGAGGTGAAGGACTCAGAGATTGTCTCCACAAAATGAAAGGCATTCTTGTGAAATATTTATACCAAATTTGCAACAAAAGCAGTGGGAGTTAAAAACTCCTACCAGCTCCCAGAAAAGCTCAGCATCTTGCAGTAAACCATAAATGAGCAAGAAGATAAAATATATTCCTTATACCATATTTCAGATTTTTTAGATCAGAGTTAAACATAGGCATATTGGCTAGATGGAATAAGAAACACGTTACCTCTGCCAGTGATATGAAGGCTGTTGATTTGGCAGCTTACAATTTTGTACATGGACTTTTATCTGGAAAGTTTCCTATTCTAGAGCAACGGTGGAAACAGTACACAGAAATATATATAGTCACCAGCATCTCTGCAATTCCTTATCTTAGTGACTCATCTCTCAAAATAGAAAATATTGTACGCCTGTGAGATTTTCAGGCTTTCTGCTCTGACTTTTCAGCTTGGATGCCAAATACAATTAGTGTCAAACATAAGATGGCAATTTCTGGGACCCCAAAACTTTGGTCAACTGATCACTAACTTTATATACTGTTTTACTAAAGTATTTCCAATTTTTTACTTCTTTTCCTAACAGAGGAAGATTTCATTAGTTTCTGTATCACAAGAATGGTCAGGTTCCCAGTAAGGTAGCACAGTTTATAGGGTTTTTGTGTGGAAAGAGATGTGAAGATAAGGTCCCAGCCACAAACAACTTCAAATCTAGGGCCCTAATTCTCATCTGTGTTTGCCTGAGTCATAGCTCAGCCCATTTTGGAGTTGGTGATTTATTACTTTATGTGAAGTATATATATATTATTCTATATATAGATATAAATATATTTCTATGCATTTTCTCATACATTCTAATTACCAGAAATAAGATGACATGCCAGCTTTCCCAATATGCCTCTCCACTCATCATTATCTGTCTTTAGTTGCTCAAATAAATCAGGGCTGGGGAAGATTTGTATTCAAATTGTCAATGACTTGAGGGGAGAGGGAGGAGGTCTGAGATTTGCAGAGACAATTAACCTCAAATTAAAATCCCTTTAATATGAGCCTACAAATATTGTTTATCTTCCTTTTCTGTTGATTAAAGCGTTACCTCAATTTTTTTCCACTCTGCCTCTTTCATACGCTTAATAAACTCATGCCCTGTGGTACTGGTGACTTTTACAGATCAGCTCCTCTACCACCCATCAATCTTTACGCAGAGCATTAATGTTTTATTACTCTTGTTCTGGTCGTAATGATTTTTCCCTTCCTCTGCTGATTTTTTTCTTCTTTAATCAAAAGTAATTTACAGCACTCTTCACCAAAATGAGGCTTTGCCAATTTAAAATACATCATGTGTGTGTTCTCTGACACTTGGTCAAATCAAAAACCTGACTGATATATTTTGCTGGCTTTTAATCAAGCTACATTAGGTCATAAATAACATGGTCCTGTAGGAATTTCCCTAACCACTAAAATTAAAGAAAAATGTATTTTAAGTCACTTAAAATTCTGCTTTTCTGTGTTGTTGTTATTTTTTTTTTCAAGTAGTATTAATAAGAATAACTGAGTGAAGAATCCTTTTCAAATACCATATTGTATATTTCTTTGATCTGCAGTCTCAAAAGTAAAACAGGTTTCCTCAAACGTTCAGTTATTTCTCACTATCCATGAAACAATCACCGTGGATTTTATTGAGTGGATTATGAATAACTTAAATAAAAACTATTCAGAATCAATACGAATCAAGACAGACACCTACCTGCTTTTTCACCCACAGTCTATTCTACAAGAAGCAGCTGTCAAGTTCACCAGTACATCACTTAGCAGGAGATCAGTTCTGCCAAATATTTCCTTTGCAACATTGCCATGAACCTCATTTTTACTTCTCTGCTGTGCACTGGAGCTGAAACTTTTCCCTTTATAAACACACCATTTTGTGTCAAGTTCACAAGATTCTTGGATAACAACATCTTTTTACCATGGGTATTTTGTAGTATTTCTTATTCATTCCAGTAGATACTAGATTGTTTTTATAACTTTAATATTTTTCTAAATCTTCTCAGCAATAATTCATACTCATTTGCTAAATATTCAGCTAATCATTTCCTTTTTAAAATTATTATTATTTTTTTTTTCACATTGCTGCAAATAAAAAGACAGCTGGTTATATTCATCTGTGAATTTGCTATGAATACAATTTATAACACAGTTGTACTTTAGCCTCCAGTCCATATTTGTTAACTTTTCCAAGATGAAGATTCGTGTACTGAAAATTTTTTTGAATCTTGGATAAGCTAAAGATTATCTTGTCCCTTGGCAGAGATGTTGCAAAAGCATCTTTTTCTGTCCATCTCCCTGCTGCTTAAAAAATAGGCTGATGAGATCATAGGTTTCTGCCTTCAGACTCTTTTGCCAAAAACCTTTATTCCAGAGAAAAGAGAGTTTCTTCTGGCAGAATGTAATCCTTGAATTTTGAAAAATCTTGACATTTTTAAACAATTAGGAGTAGTGGTTATGTTGCTATGCTGCTTTTTCCATATGCCACAAAAATCCAACATCAAAAACTTAAAGCTCTTTACGCTATTCAACGTTCAATAGTCTGTCTCCACTGAAATGTGGTGTTACATAGATATCAATTATTATTGCAGGGAATACTGTCAGCTGCTGCAGTAAAGGAGCTGAAATGTAGAGGTGTCTGGGAGGGAAAAAGATGCAGGGGTGACTTACCAGCTCATAAGCTGCAACATGAGGACACAGGTTAGGCATCTGACTGAAACTGCATTTGAAAAAGAAAAACTAATTTTAAAACAAACAAAGCACAACAACCTGCACTACACATCTTTTCCCACAGCACACTTTTTCTGAGCTACAGGCCCTTCAAAGTGTTTGACTGAACAGAAACAGAAAGCAATGTTGAAGCGAGGGTTCTTAAACTGACTGCTTTATATGCTTCAAGCAACAGAGGAAACCATAGTGATAAGAACCATGTATGAGGGCAAAGAAAATAGAGGTCTCATATCATTATATGTCATAGAAAGGCTTTCGTTGGAAGGAACTTTACAGTCCACCCAGTTCCATCTCCATGCCATGAGCATGGCTGCCGCCCACCAGAGCAGGCTGCTCAGGGCCCCATCCAACACAGCATCGAGCATCTCCAGGAAAGGACATTTTTCCAACACTTTCCATAAGGAGCCATCTGTATGAAACTAGAAGGACAATCTACCTGTTATAAGACTTATATTTTAATATACGACAGAGTAGTATTTTATTTCAAAATTCTGGAGTGATTTTCTATCAGTTCTCTGCTACTACTCAACTGTCTAGCTGTGCATAGACATAAACTTGCTAAATTGTACCACAGATGCCAACCTACTTAAGAAGGAATGGTCTTATGAGCAGTGTGTGATGCTCAGAAAGAGCAGAAGGCCCCGCTACGTCTCCTATCTTCAGTACAGACACCTTACTACCAGCTACACATCACCCAGTCCTGCCAGATGCTAAAGAATACCGCACTCACACCCTGAAGGCAATTCTGGGTATCAATTAAGCCAGAGTTCTGTAGAGCACTATTCCAGGGAGAAGAGTCAGGAATGCAAATTAGCTCATGCTGAAGGAATAAAGAGCCAATCATTGAAGGTCTCAATTTTTGTTTAAAAAAAGAATAAATGAACTCCATGGTTGGCTCTGTTTAGATAAAGTGTTAGACCACGCTCACAATTCAGGCAGTCTCAGCTTTTAAATTCTCGCTGGAAATGGAGAATCAGGCATGAAGGCAGTTCAGGCATGACCTTGGTGTACATAAAATGTATTTCTAATGAGCCCTTTTGTCTGCATGTGGGACTATAAATAAAGAAATGCCTAAAAATATTTTTATCAGAAAATAGTTTTTCTTGGTGCATTTGTAAAATTTCATCATCTTATAGCTTTGTGCTACTTTTCATTTCGTAGCACTGAAGACGCTCAGCTCCTTTACGGTGGAATTAACTGGAATTTGGTTTTGGAGGACCAAATTCTTTTTATGTATTCAGGAGTTATTGTGTCTGTATGTGCAAGGAAGTAATTTCAAAAGTCCAGAAAGATGGATATTATTAGCATTTGCTGGCCTTTTTCACAATATGCAAGAAAAGACAGTAGGACTACTTTCAAGATAAAATAGTTCATCTAGCTTTCCTTAATGTCCTCGAAACACTAGAATGATTTTCAATGGTATTAAATGTTAGGGAAAATACATTTAAGAGCTTGCCTTGCACAGAAGAATTGCTTTATTCCCATTCATGAGTACCCATGCAATCACAGAAGTACTTAAGTCTAATTCAGATATGAGAAACAAATTAAATTATATCAGTGCAGTTCTATTCACATAATGCCTTACCAAGAATAACAAATTTGGAAGAGGAGAAAAAAAGTCGTGTCCAGGACAAAACTTGTTACAGGAAAAAACTGTGCAGGCCTAACATTCAGTACATAAGAAATCTCATCAGTGGTTATTTAACTTTTCTTAGAATATAAATTGGTGTAAATGCATCTGTATAAAGATCTTTATCCTAAAAGCCATCTCCATCTTTTAGAAAGCCAACTTCAGGTCCCACTGGTATGTGAAGATACTGTTACAGGAAGATAACGATTTTCAGTAAGTGGTTATATATTCACAGTATGAGGACTGTTACAAGATCAGGCTCTACTATCTTCCTGCCTGTCATCTATCAGTATTTGGCAGCTTTAGTGCTAAAGCATGTGATTTGGAGCCTGATGGTATCTGAGGGATAAAGTAGCACAGCTAAAGATAAGAATATTTAGGGAAACCAAAGTAGTAACACTGAGCTTTCTCCTAAATTCTGCATGTTATACAGGGCCAGGGAGCTCACAGGAAGATCTGGAGTGGCTGCAGGCCTGGATGTGATAAAAATGAACTTCCAGGGATCCACTGGGAACTTTGTCAAGCTCAGGATTAATTGCATGAGCTGCATCCCTGGGACATGCACAGTGATGTCTGCTCAGTAGAGTACAAACTCACTGAGCCAAAAGGCAACAACCCTGTGTCCTAGGCACCTCTGTGCTCTGGCAGTACCCAGTATTGATCCATGCCTAGCTCACGTTTCTTCACAAAATTGGAAATACACACATATACATGTATACATGCATGTATTGTCTAATGGTTTCTGTGTGATGCTCAGGTTGGAAGGAGCACTTAAAAGAAATAAGAACCTGACGATCTTCTTACACAGATTAGTGCTCAGAAACACAAAGAGCAGGAGGCTCTTGAGAAATCTGCGTTAGACAAAGTCTAATTTGGAAAGGGGAGCTAGAAAAAGTAAATAATTAAAAGTTCGGTGGAACTATGGGTGGGATGAATAGCAGAAAAAGGAAAATAGACTTCAACATGCAATCAGTAATAGAACAGTTGGAGAAACGCATTTTACTTTCACCTCAATGATCTGAGGAGGGACTTGCAGAGGAAATGCTGGAACTATCAGAAGGTTGTACAATCCCTCTACAAACACAGCAAATGAGGAAGAAAACAGTTTCCCTCTTGGCCACCTATTGAAAACAAAGCAAAACAAAACAGCAGGGAACAAATAAAAAAGATGTGAAATTGCCCGTGAAAGCTTTGATGACCTCTGGCTATGACTAGCCTGGAGAACACCAGCTGTGTGAATTGCTCGGGCTTTTATTAAAAATTCAATTAATGTAAGCAGTTGTAATAATGGAACAAAAAACTAAACTGGGGTTTATGTGCAGTCAAGCCACAGTCCAATAATCCAGTTTCCTTTCTCAATCAAAAGCCTAATAAAAACAAGCACTCAGAGAGTGGGCTCATGGTGTTGCAAAGGCAGAGAGGATGTGCAAATGCTCAGATACTGCATTTGGAGAGGAGGGGCTCCAAAACTACAACCCAAAGACACACAGATCTACAGCTACCTTTCACTCAGAAGTAATTGCACAGTGAATGAAACCCATTTGAACACAACTGTGTGCTCTATATTGTCAAGAAGCCGAGATGCCAAATATTCTGTGGGTACCTGCTTACTGACAAAATACATCTTAGACTGCAGCAAGGGCCCAGGCTCTTTCAATAGACCTGAAGCAGGAGGCAGAGGCATTCCCATTCCTGAATTTCTTCCTTCTTCAAAGCAATTTAGCTAAAGATTGATCTTCTAGTGGTGACCTCTTCCTTTGTGATCTCTTGATGACTGAACTCTGTAATAGGACATCAGGGAAGGCATATGTGCTCAAGAGGAAACTATATCACAATACTAAAAATTCAGGACAAAGAAAGAGTAAGAAAATCTTATTCCCTAAATCCCCAAGGAAAATATATGTTTTTCTTTTCCTTCTTTCATAAAATGCATGCAAACAAATCCTTTGGAACATAAACCAGCTTTACTTCAGGCATTATGACAGGAGGAGGGAAGCACCAGATAAAAACCAGTCAAATAACTACATATCAGACATCTGCCTCATCACATGGCACAAAATTAACCTCAGTGGTTGGCACCATGCAGTCCCTTCTGCCAATTCCTGTGTTAACTTGGGGCACAATTTTATGCTCAGTATGGGAAAAAAAGGGAATAGAAATGTATCAAAATTAGCTGTTTTTTACATTTAGTAATACTTACACCACCCTGGAATGCTGGAAAACCATATATTTGTGATTATTTCTAAGTCAGCAATACTCGGAGAAGAAACAAAAAGATTAGGAAGATATTAAGACACCAGCATTCCAAAATTTGCTGGGTGCCACTTCATTCATAGAATCACAAATTATCACAAGTTGGAAGGGACATATAAGGACCATGGAGCCCAATCCCTAGCTCCACACGGGACCACCCAACATTCAAATCCTATGTCTGAGAGCATTGCCCAAATGCTTCCTAAACTCTGGCACTCGGGGCTGTGCCCACTGCCCTGGTTAACCTGTGCCATGCCCATCATACTCTGGTGCAGAACCTTTTCCTAGCATGGGTGTTTACTCTATGAAAGGTAGCTGTGAAAAAAATAAGTAAATAAATAATATGTATACATATTTGAGAAATCACGTGTAAGCAGCTAATTTCATGCATATGTGTCTGCTGCATCAAGAATTACCATGACCCAATCAATAGTCCAAAGAAAGTCAGAAGTGCTGTGGGTGAAACCATCCTGTTAAACTCAGTAAACCTTGCAGAATTATAAAAATACTTTTCATTTGAAAACCAACAGTTCTGAAACGTGTCATGAAAGACAAACACTGCTGTAACTTTTAAGCATTAGTTACGTTAAGAAACCCTTCAGCCTAATTTTTCTGTGGCTGCTATGTCAAATTTACTACTATTAACTCCAATTTACAGAGCAATTTCCTTTTGCTGAATCTCAGAATTTTCTCACAAACTGTAGAGTAGCACTAAACTCCGAGTGTCTTAAAGGCAGATGGACCCTGGCTGCACACACCACACTGCACAGCAGATATGGAGAGCAAACTCCCTCCCTCAAAGGGACAAAATCAAGGTACTGGAAAGGGACTAATTCATAAAGGTTCCAATGAAGGATCCTTACAAAACAAAACAAAAAAAATCCTCACAGTGTGACTAGAGTGAAAGATGCAAAATGAAATAGAACAGAACACAAATGTATATGAAGCTCTAGGAAGAAACAGAAGGCCCCCTTAAATGCTGCTTTCCTATACATAGGTTAAGAGTCAACTGACATGGACATTGTGCTGCTTATAGCATGTATGAAGAAACCAAGGAAACTGTCTCTGGCTTCTCATAGCTGTTATAGCTGCTAGACTAATTGGCTTTGGAGATTCTGAACATCCTAAAAAGCTGTAGAAATGTCTTGCAAAGGTCAAGTTGTTCCCTTATCCTCTTCACATCATATGACCAAAAAATCATGTCCATGTTTAAATTTCATTTCAGAATGATCTATCTTAATTTATTCTAGTTTTCAGACAGCTGTGATATAATAATAAAAAATACAACTCTTAATATCACAGCTAAAATGAAAATATTCTAACAATACTTACATAATAAAGAATTCTTTCCTTATTTATTTCCTGTAACAGATCAAAAACAAGGAGGGGTTTCCACAAGATGGTGTACCTGAAATTAATCTGTAAGAACACATTATTTTGTGAGGTACAGTCATACCTATAAAATTCATTTTTTTCCAGATTGCTTTAACTAGTTCTGTATGTTTAAAAAACCTTCAGTTCAATCCTCACACATAATTGCAATTTCCTGCAGATAAGATCATATTTAGGAAAAGGGCATCTGCAAAATAGTACGAATTGAAAGGCTTAGTAAGATTTCCCAGAAACAATCAAAAGGAAAGAAAATAAGCTTAATTCACAGCAATTTAGAATCTAAAAAGATATCAAAATACTGAACATACTGTTTCAGGGAACAGTCTGGAACATCTGATGGTAGAGCACAAGAAACTTTTCCTTATCAGCAATCTTCTTACAGTTCTTCCTCCGTGATACAGGTGTTTGTGGCTCTTTGAGAAACAAAGTACTAAACAGTCAGATACAAATAATAATGGATGTTAAAATACTTTTAAGGGAAGTTGGTTTGACAAAAATCACTCCAACAGTTATGCTACACCTGTTGGCTAGTGACACAGATCCATGTATTTGGTATCCCCCCCAAAATATGAAGTCATTTGTTGGCGGTGTTCTCACTGAATGAGACTGAAAGAAATCGAGAACAGCACTCATGCGCTTACTCCAAGTGCGGTTTTTGCTGGAATCCGGAAAGCAGTACAGCTAGGTTTTGCATTCTTTCACTGAGCAAATATTTCATTAGTCCCTAAGATATCTCTGAACAGTTTGTCCATCACAGTAAGTATGCTATGACTCATAGATTTCTAATAGACGTGCCACAACTTGCAACTCCATTGTACTTTCTCTGCGGCTCACTTCACAGGCTCTTGGCTAGAAAGTAGCCCTATTTACATCCAAATGCAGGCAGCAGACTTCAAGCAACAACAACAATAAAGTCAGGTACAGCTCTAGAACAGCAGCAACAAGTAAAATGACAGGTGGACGTTTTTGATCATTCTTTCCTTGTGTTTGCAGTAAAATTATTCAAGCATCTTTTGAGTTTTTAGAAGATTAGCTGGAAATCAAGCACCACATACCCATTCAACAGAATTATTGCCTATTTCTTACGGGTGATCATTCTGTCATTTTGTACATACTACTACTTGAAAAGAGAGTAACAGTCTTCCAAAGATCTTTGCTACAAGTTTAATTTATTCATATCACCACCGACCAGGTCAGGAATTTGAAATTCTTGCTGGCATCACATTAGACAGGATATTTAAAGCAGTGAATAAAATATCAGCACCTTATGCTGTAGAAATAACAGTTAGGGTCTGTGTTACTTCTGCTCAGTTGAACCTCCTTGTTTCCATAGAAGTTTTTCATTTTTCACTCATCAGAATTATGTACCTAACTAGTACTTCTCCTGATTTTTAGGCATTTTCTGCATTATTTTTAAATTGAAGTTGTTGTCCAAAAGGCATACTGTCCAAAGAACTATGCAATGTTGATACACATTGTTCTTTGTTATACAAAACACCTGTTTCTTTCCTGCTCTGTTCGTTTCAGTTAGCACTCTGGAAAACATACCAAAAACTGTTGGTATTGTGGCTGCCTTATTCCATGCTTCAGTTGCCTGTATATAACTTGAAGGGTATGCCTGAATTAACAGTGTATTGCTTTTAAATCCAGAGTTCATAAATAGATGCAGAACAAACTCAAAGCATTAACTCTCAGATGATATAACTTCTTCAGAATTGACTTTGTACCCCTAGATAGTCGTTACAGTTCTTAGTTAAATCAAAAAGTTGCTTTTTGGTCTGTACATTAAAAAAATAAAAAATAAAAAAGTGGGTAGCTAATAAAACAGAGTAAGAGACAAGTCTGCCACACAGACTCAGAGCAGGAACTGTTGCTTACACAAAGTCAACAATCGACTGTGATGGGACTTGAGTGCTGTGGCCATTTCTGAACATCAGGTGGCATATACACAGAAGGCACGCAGCTGGAGTTGGATACACTCATGTAGTCACACACAATGACAACAGCACATCTGGGGTGGTACAGATCAGAGAGAAGCAGACTTGACTCCTTAGAGGAAATCCAGCATGATGCAGTTATTGATACAGAGACCTTTACAAAATTGATGAAAGCAGGTAGGGTGAATCAGGGTATAAATATTATTAATGAAAATGGAGTTATGTAGCATCATTTAGGTAGTGGAAATCCACATTTATAAAATGCCTGGCAAACAAAGAAGCCCCAGTCTCAGACTTAGCTTTCATTTAACAGAAGTAGAAAAATCTCTTTTGAAGAGCTAAGCACTCTAAAATATTAGAAATCTGTCCAATGTACCACCATAGGAGCTGGAAGTCTACCCAACTGTCTCTGTCTCAAATATTTTTCAATCTCTTAGACAAATCCAGACACAGACAGTGAATCCTGTCTCTGTAAAATCCAAGGAGGGTTTTGCAATTATTTTCAATCAAGTCAGAATTTGTTTATGAAATAGAAACATGCAACAGAGCAGAGATGTAAGAAATGCATTTGGATATGTTCTTTCAATAACGGGGTTCACATGCTTGACACACAAAATGTAAGGCAAGCCCAAGCACAGAATATTCACGAAAAAAATGCACTGAGGTATGAAGCAGAAGACACAATAACAACATGAGAGCAGGGGTGAGCAGATGGAGAACTGGCATTAAAAAGAGAAGCAGAGCTTTGAAGTCATGGAACTACATGACACTCTGTAGTCATGTAGTCATGACACTACAGACTGACACTCAACTAATGAGATCAGAAATTGGCTCCTCATAGTGTAAAAATTTTGCCTCACTTATCAGAAAAGAGAATGAAATTAATTTTCCATGACTTGATCATCACGATCTAGAATCAAGCCAAATTTACTAATCTAAATTTGTTCTTTCAATATCCAGTGCAGAATGAGCACACATGCAGTGAAGATCAGACTGTGTGGTCACATCTGAGTCCTTTGTTACCCTTATTACCTAAAATCTGCAGGAGAACTACAGATTGGGACTAGTTTCTGTTAGGAAGCACACATCAGGTTATGAATTGTCACCTTAGAGTCATACAGGAAACAACTCAGGAATACATTTTTCTTGGTATAACTAGCTGATGCTGCTATGGTTTCAGTGTTTCCCTGAAGCAGCAGTTCAGTTCTGTTAACCTGCTGCTAACTCAGTGTTAACACAATTGAGACCTTTTTCTTTAATGTTTACTTTTCACAGTAAGCTTGTTACTTTCAGTGAGAGATGAAGTTACTTAGATTTCACATACACATTATTCAAAGATCACTATGTTTCAATATTTATGATAGCTCAATACTTGCCGCCTCCATAAACATTAGAAATTATGTTTTCTCCTCCTTCGGTGACAGTCAACATTGCAAAGTGAATGGAGCAATATCAAAATACACAGCTAGCTAATACTCAAACTTAATTCAAAACTTCTACCACTGAGCAAACAGCAGTCAAAAAGCAGCAGCAGTAGGAAAAATATAGCTACCTTCATCTGCTTATTCCAGAGCTATATAAAAGACTGATATCAAGTTAGCCTTGAGAGGCTCCTAGATGGGAATTGGTGAGAGATCAGCAGTAGTTCTTATCAGAGAGGCTCATTGCAGACATTCAGAATTATTTTCCAGATTCATTTCTTCATTTAAAAACTCCAGAAAGAAAGGCAATGCCATATTGCTACAAAAAGCTAAGCTGATCTTCCAACTGAATGAAACCTACCTTATGCTAATATGATGAGACTCCAGGCTTTAAAAATCCTTATAAATGTTTAAAAATCCTAATAAAAGCACACTTGGTTATATTGCTAATTTCGAACCCAGCAAATGGTCAGAGCGACAGTTGAGTTCCATATTTGTGTGTGGAATTAGTTCCTCATGGCCTAAAGAGACTCTTCTCTAATATTTCATTAATCTCACAGTATCTGTTCTGTAGACAGACAACTGAGCAGAGATGGAGAAATTATTAAGCAGAGATAACAAAGCACTGTTTTCATTTGCTGTTATCTTGTATGCTATGCAGCATCTCAAAGTTATGCAAAACACAACCGATGGTAGAGAATTTTTTTATGTATGTCTGAAGGAGTATTTTGAACTGCTACAAGATCTTCCAGTATGCTTCTCCTGTATTTTTGGCTTTCAGCTGGTATGGAGTAAGATGTGATGGGCATTACTCCAAAAAATTTGGTAACCACTGAATGGGTTTATTGCAATTCTTGTATGCAGTGAGAGCTCTCTGCCAAACACCTGTCCAAATATGTTTTCCTCACTGAATAGGTTATTATTCTTCATATGCTGTAGATGGGCACAAATGTGTAAAATTAGAACTCACTCAACCTATTTGGCATGAACTTGTGTTCCTGTGATTACAAACTATCACCATACATTCTGACTCAGACTGTCAAAACAGTCATTGGCAGGTGCATTAGTTATACTTCAGGATGTCTCTATAACACTTTCTGCTATTTTCCATGCAAAGGTGAAAACCAGCTACATTCCTTGGTCCTGATCAAGAAAAAGAAATTCGCATACATGATTTTTGAAACATTTACTAGTCTAACACAATAATGGGAAATATTTCTGTCTAGCTAGAAACATTTTTCTTTTTTTTTTTCTTTTTTTTCCTCCTTTTTAAAGCATCTTACACTTGTTTTGATTTATTTTGACCTAATGCTAAGTATGCAATACTCAAAAGCCAGAGAGAATAGACTTTTATCTGCAACACAATCCTCAGAGTTTTGAATTAATTATAAGCTTTTCACTTAACTGAGAAAGGAAGAATGATTTCTTGGCTGCAAGTTCAACTACTATTAAAATTATGTATTTGCAAGCAATCTGCTTCCATGACCAGAGGGTGCTTGTAGCGCAGACAAAAGTAGCTTTCAGCTAATCCACATCATCCCACCTGTGACCACTGTGCTCTGGCTTTGCCCACTGCCATGTTCTACAGCAGCTGAAGAGCTGCACTGGGAGCTACTTCTCCACAGATTAACATTGGTTGGTGTCACAAGGGAAAAGGAACATGTGGCAGTATGTCAGTACTAAGGTCAGCTGACTGAGTGAACCAAGCAAGGGGTAAGGTTTGTCTGAAAAATCCTGATGGTCACACAGGCACTAACTGACACTCTCCCCTAGCACTGCTCCAGGGAGGCATGGAATCATCCAGCAGCTGTGTACCAACGAGCATTAGCTTCAGCTTGGGTTCTCCTCCACAGTGTGTGATGTTCACCTAGCAGCATTTTCCTTGATCTCAACTACTAGATAGGTTTATAACAACATGTTGGCACTGGCTGCAAATTCAGACAATTACCTAATTTGGCCCTGCTTTTAGCGGGGCTGGATCAAATGCCCTTTTCAGTCTAAGGTTCCAAATTCTGGTTTTCTATGATCCTCTGATACGACCTTTCC